TCGAGGAAATCTGGAAAGATGAAAAGAAGTGGAAACGAGTGTAATAAAAGTTTACTCGTATGGAAGAAGGTACGAATCTGCAGTATTTCTTCACCTTCTTTCTCAAATATAAGAATAGTTGTTCAAGAAAATATGCATAATCAATGATTTCGAGAGAAGAAAAACTGACATTAATCCTATTGATAGTTAAATTTAATATTCTCTACAAAATCAACCAATTTTGCTTCCTTTCAATTGCAGAGAACGGTAAATATATTGAAGGAAGAGTTATCATGCAAGATGAAATTTTGTTGAAAAAAAAATGATCACTTTGAAGATGAAATATGCTACAAATCATAATCGGAAAGTTTTAGAAGCTTACTGCGGGCTAAACTAACAGCTAACCTGTTCAATCTTTTCTATGAACACAAGAGACGGCTATCTTTATTTTAAAGGAAATAAATCATTTCAAAGATTATACTTCTACTGAGTGCAAATTTAAAATGAAATAAAATCGATCTCAATCTTTTTGATCAATGAATATGACTACATTTCTTATAAAAACGAAACATATAGCATTACTTAGTCCCAACACATCCATAACAAATCATTTTTAAGTATTTTTCCTAAATTTTACTTTCAAGATTTCAAGCATAAAAGTTCAGTCAGATTATAGACAGCACCAAAATTATAAATTTTCGTAATTTAGTCTAATACTTTCTGGACATTATCTCTCTTAAAATCATTACAGGCAGTAAAGAGTCACTTAAATTCGCAACATAAACGATCGGAATAGCATTTATAAAAATAAAAATTTCTGTAGGTGAGAATATGTTATGTTACGAAAGAAAACTTGATTAAGAGTATTAGAGGATCTTTGATTCATAATATCTGGAAGATGAATTTTTATAAATAGTGAAAAAGTATGAGATATAACTTGAGTAGATGCTTTTTAGCTACTAAAACTTTAGCACTATTCATTTTCTCTTTCTCTGAACTTTCAATTAGAATCGAAGTAAGAGGTCACAAGAACTAGCAAAAGAAATATCGAAGCAGATTTTGAAATGCAGGATCAATTAAAATGAATAATGCATAAAAGTTCATTCTCAGCAAATCTCGTTAAAGATAACATCATTTTCACGCTAAAAAAATTTCAAATAATTGTCCAAAGTTGTTAAAATAGAAGTAATTGCCGGTGTATAATTTGTCAATTAAAAAATGAAATGGTTGTACGACAAAACGAGGTCATTTTTATCAGCTGCAAAAGCAATGCATAGGTTAATTTGTCACATGCATTTTAAAATTATAGTTAATCAAAAACGGAATTTAGTGATATTCAGGTACCGTATAAATGATACTGCATAAAATAATTACTAGACTTAAGAGGTATAGACATACTCGGATCTTTACCTTCCATAGAAATGATAGCAATACAAAGAAGGACTGGCAATTATTGATATGAGATACTTAGTTTTAGTTAGCAAAGCTTACCTATGTGATGAAACCGTAGCAACAAATCAGAAGTATATAAGTGATGTATTAGTGATCTTATATTAGAGATTAAAATGGTTGTAAAATAACCTGTCGATATCCTTGGCCATGCATTATATGGCATTGCGTATCAGCATTATAAACTTGTCCTGGCTTCAAATCTGCTCTCATTGTTAATTTTTGTGGTAGGTTGGATACTCGTAGACAATTCTTACCGCGACTACTGAAAACCTTTTGGGTCTTAACAATGAAAAAATTGAAAAGAAAGACAAATAAGCTGATTGAATTAAAAATAATCATCAATACATAAAATCCCGCATTTGAGCCATAGGTTTATATTAAAAGAAATAAATTTATAATGGCACCTACTCGAGACGTTGTAAGAATGCATGGTAGTCACGTAAACTACAAAGTGACCAAGTTACTTTTCCTGGACCTAATGATGAGCTCATAATATGCTTTGCTGGACAATATGGCTCGTCATGACGCATCCCAACGCTGCAACATTTAGCCATAAATTCTTTAGTACTTATGAATATAACTGGATAGATAGTAAACAAATGTGGCCAAGCTTATGGCCAAGCTCACCTGTGGCCAAGCTCATGGGTTCCAATAAAAGCTGATGTAAAATCGAGTCCTTCCGCTAAAGTGCAAGTATTCCATGGATCACACATGCCATCCAACCGAGCAATACCGCTTATGGATCGCGATCCAGTACCACGATGGATATCGTATCTAAAGTATGTTCAGTATGTTTGGATAGCCAGATTCGTTTCAGAAGAATCCAGTTATCAATCGATCCCATTTGAGAAAATGCTTCGTCCATTTATCTCGATATAGTTCAGTTCGTAGAAATTTATATTGTTTCTAATTTATACTATCATTTAATAAATTTCATATACACAGACACACTCCTACATGGCCTGATACTTTGATAACATTATGAAAAGTACCAGCGGTCAAGCATATAATGAAAGATGAACCCTGTAAGCATCAAAGCGTGATCCCAATCACGTGAGCCTAAGTTTCGTTGATATTTGCAAAATCGGTCCAGATATTTTTGAGCATTCCCGTTATTATGCAAATGGGCTGCCATGGCACTCTGAAATTTATTCATGTTCAATGCATAATCTGACTTTTTTTTCGTGACTTTGATGCTCTGAAACATTTAGGATTCGAGAAATAATTTTGGAACGAGTTGATTATTAATTATATGTTGAACAAGACAACTGATAAGGAGAAGTGAGATTAGCTCCTAGCCTTTGCTAAAGTATAAAATAATCAGCTTGATATGACCGAACATTGTTGTTTCTATGACATTTGAACTCTTTCGTACAGAATGATTCTCTTGCCCTTCAACTGTTTACAACAAATACTTCACAACTGACTGTTATCACTTATAAATAAATGCTTTCTTTTTGTCATTAAAAATAAAAGTTAAGTTATTAAACGATTCCTTTAAAATCAAAACTAAAGCAGTGGCAATTTCCATGCATATTCTTTCTTTTTATGACATTTTCTGCCTTTTACATGAAATTGTTTTGTTACATTTTGAGAGTAAAATGAAATTAAATGATATTTCTAAAAAATGACTTATTTCACCTAACTCTTTAACCGTTTTTACGAAATTATCGATCGTTTTGACTCACTAATTGTTCGAATGTAAGGAGTGAGAAACTTTAGATACGGTCCATCCTGAAAGGTCAGGAAAAACGGAAACAAAAACTGATACCGGCTGAGTGGTGAGCACTTCGAACCTCACTACATGAAATGATAGTTTTGGAATGGCACTCGGTTGATGGTACATAATTTGTATATTGTTAAGCATTGTGAGCGCGTAATCCTGCAGTTTACTACTTGCATCGATGCCGTATTTACTATTAAAGAGTTTCCATAACATTTCATCCACGAATATTGCTAATTCCACCTGAAAATTGAACTTGAAACAGTTGGAGTCCAGCAATGAGCAACTTTCGAGACTTTGGATGGGATGGAATGCTTGAAACTATTTGTCCGTAAATATGCGGAACTTCTGTAGTCATCCCGGTGAATTTTGCGGGCCTCATTCAGCAAAGTACGATGTTGGAAAATGAAACGATTTCCGAACGCACAAAGTTCCATTTCCTTTTATTGAAATTCTTTAGCTTATATTTTATATGCTTCACATCTTTTACTCTGAACCAATGATTACAAATTTCTTTAACATTGAATTGACACATATACGTCAATTCCTTTCTTTTCCTTCTTTTTAACAATTCTTCAAAGAAAAGGAAATTTTCGAAGTGCTATTGTGTTTTCTATCAAAGTTTATGATTCGCTTTTGCATATTTCGTTTGTGCATATTTGCACCTCTTAAATCTTATGTTTTACAAAAAAGCATTTTTGATGTTCGATGTACCGTTCCTTTCTGATAATTTAGCATCATTCAAATTATCCTCCTTATAAAGACTTACCTACGCTCCACTGAACTTATTTACCATTCCGGTTTCCCTTCCTACCCCTTTACTTTTTTCCAATAGTATTAGGAATTTTGCCTACTAATAATCCATTAATCGAACTTTGGGTTGAAACTCCTGATAATCTATGGCCAGCTGTTGGATGACGAGTGAAAATAAAAAAAAAAGACATCAATAAATAGGGAACAACTATTTTACGAAGTATTTCTTTTCAAAAATGAAACATAAATTGTTGTAGAAGTTGTTCTCAGTAGCATTAGTATAATAGGAGTGGCTATTTTCTCTTTTATAAAAGCAATGGTAATTAGTAATTAGGAATTAATAACAATGATATAATTGATGGTATGTCTTTGCTCGATGGACTCTATTCCAAAAATATTTTAACCATTCCTGTTTTTCTTTTCTAATTTATTCATCTCTATTAATCAAAAAGTTACAGTTATGATGGATTGAATTTTATTTTCATCTTAATTAAAAGTGTCGAAATTTGAATCCTTTAAAAATCTGCTAACCCAAACTCATCTTGTATTTTGTTACTTTTTGGATCACTACAAGAAAGCTTTTTTTTTCTTCTCTTGAAAGATGACGGCAAGGCCAAAAAGATGTGACCAGAATACAAGCTGATAGAAAAACGTAAAAAAACGATCGTGTCAAGAGTAATTAGTCAGGTGCACAATGTCAGGTGTACTCTAATCAGTTTAAATGTTATGTATAATGAGTTTATCTATCTTATACCCATCTAAATTTCAAATAATTTCATTTAAAAACAAACGATATTAGCTAACAATGAGTTCGCCTTCAGCACTGAGACGTTGTCCAACTGCAAATACATCTTCGCTCACTTCGTTTTCATCCTCGGCGAGTTCGGTCGATGTAATTGTCGATTCGAGACCGCAAAATTCTTTTTGCGCAACTTCACGTTTGTAAATTACATGTAATCCAGAATCTAAGTCTAAAACTTTTGTATGATTTAATGGGGTCTGAATAGCAAATAAATATACAAGACAGTGATTAAGTTTACATTTAATTATTCGGTCAGCGAACCATGTCAAGCTAAATATCCCTGTCTTTTCATTTTCATTAGTATTTTATAGAATTGTTTTCAAACTAAGTAAAGTTGGCAATAATTTGACAGCTTAATGGAGTAGTCCTTGAAAAGTTATAGTTATAGAGATTACCGTTCCGGTTATCCTGATCAAATCGATGAGCGTGACGATCGGGTAATGGATGTAATATGTAAACCTCATCTGGCATTACAATTATGCCCTTCTAAAAAATGATTATTTAGTATCTTGAATTAAAATTTCTAAATCATTCTAAAATTCGAATATTTACTTCCAAATTTCGAAATGCCGGAAATTTTGAAAAAAGCGTCATTCGTCGTTTAATATTTTACGAAACTTCGCATGTGCTTCTATTTATGGAAATAAAGATTTATATAAATAACCTCATAATTTAACGTTTTACTATGCAAGTTTCGTTTTCAACGTAGTAAAATTAGAACTTCAAAAAAAAAATTGAACAAAAACATACTTATCTCTCTAATCCTACACATTTTTTATCTGGGAACTCTTCGAAAAGAAAAGAATGTTTGTTCAAAATGGAAATCAAAAAATGGAATCTTTTTGACTACTTCCTGATGCCATGGCCTATGTTAGCTCTCTTTCAGTTCATAATTCTGTGTATTATCTTCTTCTAATAAGCTCACTTCCATCTACTGCACCTTTATCAAAAACTCTGGAAGGACAGGAAGTGCAAGACATCTAATTTTAGATGTGATGAATCGTTCAAACAATAGGGAATGTTTCAGAAAAAGAATGACCAGGGAATATTTCCAGGGAATTTTCTTAATTATTATCTTATCTATATGTGCTTGTAAAGTCCACTACTTGATTCCATTCCATAGATTACTTCGTTAATATGAGTATTCTCAGTTTTTTTCAAACTTTATTGTAACTATTTTCATTTTTTTTCCATTCATTCACCTATCGTTTCTTGTTTTTTTGTTGGGGATCAAAGAATAACATCATTAATTAGATTCCAAAACAGTTTCATATCTTCTGATCACTGATAAACGAAAGCTGATTTAAGCAGGTAAGCAGCATAAAAGTAATGTAAGCTATAATAAGCACTGACAAGATTCCCATCACAGTTGCTGATAGCTGCATACGCTTCCTTTGATTTATGTTGATAATGACAGTTGGCCGGTGGTAGCCCAACATTCAATTTTCCACCACCATGGGCATTCCGGAAAACGGTCTTCAGGTGCGGTGATACAAGCAATTGAATGGTTGGCTGTAACGTGAAGTTTATTTGCTTTCCGTGAATAGTCATACGAAGCAGTTTTAATTGACCATCTTTCGAATACTCCGTTTCCGGATATAATTCTTCGTGTTGAGGAACTGTAAAGATTTAGCATAAAAGAAATTGTCGTCACTCTTGAATAGTATTTAACAGAGAGTCAGGAGACATGAAAGTATGGTATGACTTAATTTTTGATCTACTTTACCCCACAATTGCACTTCTATTCCTTTCATCACCATTACAGTACTTTGGCATCAAATATCACATCATTTGCTAAAAGTGTTTGGAAATATTTCCGTCAGATGATTTCACTAAAAATACATGTGCAACATATTTTTCACTAATTATGATTTAATTAATGGATATATCAAAAATTTGGAAAATTGTTGCGGAAGAAGACTAGACAAGAAGTGCATGTCTTTTATTTAGGCTGAATTTTTTTATTAAAGCTGTAAAGCAACGTACTTGTCCATAACTGCCTATTTCTACTGCTAAATCATTTCTTAACTATCTTTTATCACTTCATACAATGATTACGTTGATACTGTAGCACAAAAGTAATTGCTAAAATTTTGGCAGATAAAAAAAAGGAAAGCTCTTCTATTTTCTACGCAATATTGCAAATGAGAATTAAATTTGCTTGGCCATACGCTATTAACTTTTCTATTCAGCGTTACTATTGGTCAATTAGGAAAGCGTTTCTATTCTTGCGAAATAAAGCAATAGGTAATACTTGTACCTATTGACCTTTAACTAAAATTTATTTATTACCAAAAATTATTACGCTTTACAGGCATTTTAGTATCTCATAGCAATGAAGAAATGAAGATCATGCATTAGCATAAAACCACTTCTTCATTGCAACTCTTAATTTTCTGGTACTAAAATATTGAAGCATGGTACTAAATCAGCATTAAATAACTAATAGGTTATTAATAAAGCTAACATACCGTCAGAGAAGGTCTGCACCCCAAATGTATATCGCAATTCTTCTGATGATAGGAACGGCACTGTTGTTGATTCTATTAACTGTAATTAATAGTTTTCATTTTAATCAGAAGAATACATTGTTTGTTTGTGATACATTTGTTTCCTTTAACTTCAACAATTTTCTGTTCATATGTTGACACTTTACTGTCGCCTATCTTAATCTTCTGCTTATTTAATTAATCCTTATATCGCACTCGCGATTTTCAGTGCATACTATACTGTACTTTAGAATATCAATATTTCGAAGGACGACAATAAATGACAAATACTACTTCCTATTCAACTAGTATCTTTACTGAGAACTCTCGGCAGAGAATCGAGAAAAAATAATGTTTCACAGTTGGCCAACAATCACGAACAATTTTATAGTCATCCAGTAACCGTGAATAATTTATACTGAAGCCCGGATATAACTCGTATTGCTTACCTTCGTAAATTAATCGTAGTAACTACTATTATGTTATAAATATTGAACTGCAGTAAATTTATAACATCAAGATCATAGTTCCCCAATAATCATAAATAATTTCGAATCACTGAATTAAAAGAAAGGACTAGGGACAGAGATATAATTAGAGAGAAACCGGAAACAGAACTTTGTGTTCAAGGTCTAAAACAAATAAAACGACCAACTAATATACTTCAAGGTCATCTGTCTTGCTTTTTGAACATGTGAAGTTATTTTGAGACCAGAAGTCACCTTATCTTGTCATAAGTCTTTGCTTGTTACATTTTAAAATGTTAGTTTTACCAAGTAATGAACAATATAAATCAGCGAGAAAGTTTTACCGGGAAAAATGCAAGGCGATCTATGCTAAGAGGAAATCTTGTTAAAATGAGTGGTTATATTTGAAACAATGCAAACAAGTCAAGACAGTAACAAAATTATAAAAAAAAAAGACATTTTGAACCTTCAAATGGAACTTATGGAAATATAAAAACTTAAAGCCAATGAAATGTTAGAAATGTTCTTCAGTAAAAAAGTAACAATTTCCCAATATCAGAAAAAGGGTTTGCACCGCAAAATATTCCAAAAATCAATGTTTAACTGGCTGAAGTTCAGATACTTGTTTTGATTAAAGCAAGTCAATTGTCAACTTAACGACACAGAGTCAGTCTTGACACTTAGTAATTCATTACCGGAAATTCCCCGCATCGCCGGAAATATGTTCTGTCTGCAAAAATGCACTTCGATTTTTTTTTTTGGAACACTTTGCATTTCGAATATTTTCAAAGAACATTAAAATGTTTGTCACATCATTAATTTACAAAAGTGAAGTCTGGGAGTTTAATTCAAGGATTATTAGAAATAATATTTTTAAGACCAAAATCAAGCAGTTTTTTCTTAAAAGCTTTCAAAAATGTATTCTTCCATTTCTCGCATGAAATATAAGAAACACTTTTAAATATTAAATGTACAAAGAACATTAACGACTACTTTATGAATAAAGTTGTAGAAAAGTGAAAGAGTGTGATAAGTTTTACACATTTGAAAGCATGAATATTTTTGTTAGTTTTGTAACATTCAATAAAATCAAACTTTATTTAATTTCCTTTACTTATTCCTTCTATGCTAATGAACCTAAATTTCTTCAAGTAGGTAATGAATTGTAAAAAATATGGTAAAATCACTATAAAATGTTGAAAAATACTGTTAAAAAAGGATTATTTTGAAGAAATTAGAAAGGGAAATATTCCAAGTAAAAAATACTTTATTTAAAGAAAATGGAAAAGATAAACGCAATTAAGATATACTCTTTTAATCGTAATAATTAGAAATGTCGATTAGAATTACAAATGTTTCTATCTAACAGTTTCTTTCATAAGTAACATGACAATGCAGTGATACAAATAATGGTACCATTACTTCTAGTTGTAATTCTATTAGTCGCATTTATCAACAGTACATGTAAATACTAACATGGTACCTACCTGGCGGTAAAAAGTGAGAAGGAAAAAGTGGAACAGAGATTGGAAAGTCACTTCCGTTCCCTTTACACGCATAATAAGCGGAAATAGTGATCGTTGTATTATTGTTGTTATTATTGTTGTTATTGTTGACTGGCTGAGGTGGGAATGAACTGTGTATGAAACGCCGTGCTTTAGCGCTTGTTTGATATCAAAGAGACAAAAAAAAAGTGATGAATAGGAGGTGGCACTTTTCACTGTTAGGCCTTAGGTGTCGTTATTCGTCGTGTCGTGTCTCGTCGTTACCGTTATCGATGTCGTTACCTTTCCCGTTGTTGTAATTACTATCTTTTGTTCTTGATGATGAAGTTAATGATTGTAATATAGCAGCGTTTTCCTATTCATTCCATCAGTTGATAGTGATTGGGATAGGATGGGGATGGCGATGATAACAATGAAGGTGACTGCAATCAAAAACCAGTGAGAGTGAGAAATTTTAAATTTAGAAAAGGCAAGAATGGAAGGCAGAACATGAAGGAAGGATGGAAAAAAAGGAGGAGGAAGAGGAGGAGGAGGAAGAAGAGGAGGAGGAAAAGGAAGAACAACTAGGGGGAAGCAAGTTCAGATGTTCGGGAAGCAGGAAGTTATAAAAAGGGGCAATATGTGATGCAACAAGGAAAGCGCCATCGCTGGATTTTTGTGCAAGAAAGATCTTTTGCTTGAAAAGTGTAGTTAAATAGAATCCCCTTAATGAGTAATTGTTTCAGATTTAATTATCACTCCTTAATGAGTAACTGTTCCAGATTAATTATTAGTCTTTCCTCAGTCCAATTAATAGCAACCATCGCAGAATGATGCTTGTGATATTTTTCTCTATAAAACATGCTTTTCAATATGTTTTTTTTTTTTTTTTAGCCGAAATATATTAAATGAATAATTAGAAGCACACTTTTTCGTTCACATAGTTGACTTCTACAACCAATCGAAGAGGAAAATAGACTGGTCTTCGAAATTCTGGAAGAATATTAGACATCCCTCTTCGCAGACTACCTCATATTGGGTAATTCAAAGTCTGATGATAAAGCTACAGTTATTGTTTATCAAACATGTGAAGTAAGTTAGCTCTGGAATGGAAAATCAAAAATCCCCAAGTCATTTTAATGATACTGTCATATCTGCAAAATCATTGCATTGTCATTTGTCAAAGTTTTTGGCATGATAAATTAAAGTTTCTATGGAAAGAATATCGGTGTCAAAATGTGCATTCGATAGACCCATCGTTTTCGGTAATATGGAAGAGAGACCTGCAAGGTATTTGACATCACTTATGTCTCGCCAAGTATCGGTGTAATGTGCGTGTGCGTGTGTACGTCCGTGTGTGTATTATATATATCTGTGTCAATACGAGGATGGGTGTATATATCGTCGCCATATAGCCTTTTTTGAAAAATTTAAAACGACGATTTAAAATAATAATGATCTTTTATCTAAAGAACAAAGAGTGTAGAGTAATTGTCAATGGCTACCAAAACTGTCGCGACAGTTTTGTTGACGTATTATAATGTCGTAGAAATTTGTTCACCTTTAGGGAGGAGAGGTGACAGGAAACGTGGTGTCATAAATGGTTATCCCTCGTGTGTTCAATACTCCTTTCCCTAATTTCTTCTTTCTTTCTGCTGTTTGAATAGTGAAACTCAAAAACAATTGCAAAAAACAAGTCAAAAAAAAAAACATTCAAAGAAAACATTCTAAAAAGGATGCAAGCATGTAAAATAACATATTTGTTTATTAGTGTATTTGCATAAACTAACAAAGTGTTAGAGTTACTGTAATTTTAAACATTTAGTTTTTTTCATGCTAATAAATGGAAAAAAGAGTGCATGTTGAAGGAAAAAAGTATTTTAAAACGAAATTTTCAACGAATTTCTACTTTTATTTTTATGAGTGGATCACTGTAGAAAGAGGTTGCAAAAATCATTTCATTCTATACTTTGTGTATAAGAATAAACTTACCCATCGCTTTATTTCATGGAGAAAATTCTCGTTAAAAATTGCAGCGACATTTACACCAGCCGGAAGTGAGAGGAACACAAATGAATCAGGCAACAGACATAATACTCAATACCGCTTAGCAACAGACCAATGCGCAAAACGCAAATGTGTAAGATTTGACTAACTGCTTGAAGTTCTGAGGAAACATTTGAATTTATCAGATAATTATATTGAATACATGGCCAAATTTCAATCGCTTTTTTTTCTCCTTTCAATTTACTTTGCATTTGTAGTCAGTAAATTACTCAAATTATTGACGATGTCATAAATTGCGCTTATGAAGCAATTATTGGTACTTTCGAAAACGCTATCTTTTCCATTGAGTTTTTTTTCTTAACTTATCAACAGAAGGTAATTAGGATAAAGTTATTGGAGATTGAATGAGCTTTATTAATCATCTGCTCAGTTACGCGCTTGCAGTTCTTGACAATCCTGCAACTCCACATTACTTTGGTTCAGGCCTTTATCGCTTCAGCAAGTCACCTTACATATTTTGGATATATATAAGCGAAATTTAATTTTCTCTTCACTTAAACATTTAGAAAACCAGATTGTGTGGGGAAATTTCGAAAGATTGCACAACGAAATTTAGATTGAATCATTGTTTCTTCTTTAAATCCCATCTTTAAATTCATCAACAAAGTAAACGCAACAACTGAGTGACAAAGTAAACAATAAAAGAGAATGAATGAACAATATTTCTTGGTTATACAAGTTACTTCAAAAATGAAAATGAAATAATCGTTTGGCAAAAAAAAAATATTATTGTATTTCTTTCCCGCTCTGCTATCAATTACTAAAAATTTTATTACCGTTACTACTGTTCCAGTAGACACAAATACTCATTCTCAGCTGATGTCTGATCAACGATCACGAATGGTTGTTGGGACACAGCAATAGAAACTTATTTTTATTTATATCGTTCATCGATCATTTTTCATCTTCATAGTGAAATCCTGTGTCCTAATTCCTTTCTTTTTCTCCTTGTTGATTGTATTTGCAATTTATTATTACACAAAAGAAGCAGATATTATGAAAAGAGAAGAAAATGAAAGATTTGATATAATTTAAATCTTTTTTCTTTTTGGGAAAACACATTAATAATAATAACTAAACGGCGATAAATAATAAATATTGGTAGGAAAAGGGAAATAGCTAATGATATTAGTAATAATGATCAGAAATGTTGCATGATGACCTTATCGATCTTAGATCTTTCTGATCTTAGATCATCTACCATCCAAACATCATCTAACTTCAATTGAAAACTAATCTTCGATTGATTCTATCATTCCATTCATTTTTTTTTATCTTTAATATTCTATCACTATAAGGCGTGAAATAATATGTAAAGCATGCAGATATGACAAAGAACAATAAATGCATGGGCAATTTTAAGATATTAAAGAAAATACAGCGACTTAAGATGACCAGTTTTACTATTGTTTACTTAATCCTGAAATCAAATGCATTTCAAACCTTGAACAGAAAATTCTCTATCAGATTTCTTCGGTGAAATGACTTCAATCATATGGTGACTTTCACTTATTTCCAATGTCACAATTTTTTCGTTGACACTAACAGCAAATAAATTTAACTGTCTTTAATAAGGGTTCTGTTACAAATTTCGGACAGAAATTTATTTCACGGGACATTGACACTTAAATGTTGTAATGGGAGTAAATGTTGTAAATGTTGTAATGTAATGGGATGTTGTAATTGCTACGAATGAATCATTCCAAAGCCTATAAAACTGGGCTTCGATGCCAAATGTATCGCAATGTTAAATTCAATTATTATTAGTTGGTTGAAAACAAAAGAGTTCCTTTGGAGCAATGCTGCGCTTTTATCACCAATTTCACTATGGTTAGCTGTACGATGCAAATATTGGTGAAGGAAATTATTCAAATTAGGAAATTGCATTTTGATTAGCACTGTGACATATAATTTATTCAAATCTGAAGTGTAGTTCACGCGGAAAAGTTTCCTTATATTACAGAGCAGAACAGAACCAATTAAACGGTGGATTAAAGTAATTTATATTATAAAATTTTTGGTTTTTGCTTTTTTCAAACAAATTTTTTCATCAGAAATGTCATACAGTAAAGAAATGAAAATCCATCCATATGTGTCCAGTGGCGCAAAGAGTAAAGAAAATATTCTACCAAACTTATAGTTTATAATTCGGACTGCTTGAAGTGGGAATTTTTTACTTAATAATGAATTGTGAAAATAGACATAAAACAAGGTAAAGCATTTAAATCCAGATAATTTCAACTTTAGCATGAAATGATCGAACAGTATCAAAGTACACTTCCAAAAAAGGTCTCATCAATTCATGAAGAGGTTGGATATAGAGTTAGCCGACGATAGTTCAAAGTTTCATTGATTAATAAACAATTACTGCAACCTTAAAGTGTTCAACATCAATTCGTAAATAGACAAGTACATGAAGCTGTGTGGTTCATTGTTCTTCACAACAGTCCAAATCCTCGTCACTTACCAGGCTATGATAGCATTGGATAGGGGTGGTATGTAAATAGAGAATAACAATTGATAACAGTTGCTATCAAACCACGTGGTGATCGTAAATGCAATTTGCTTCTTCCAACTTAATAGTTTATAAAATATACAAAAGTTTACTCAACAAATGTGTTGTAATTTACTTTCCATTTGTTCTTTTTGTGAGTTGAAATTTAGCATAGAAAATGAGTGTTTTTAAAAACAAAAAAGATGAAATACTAAACGAAATACTGGTCGGATTGTTATATTTATCTATTGACTTTATGCTCAATTTCCCCATCAATCAATTTAGAAAAACTTCAAATTTACAAGATTCAAGTTTAGTTATATTAAGAAATGCAAAAATTAAAATTCCTCCAAGTAAAAAAATCAAAAGTTAATTGAAAAATTCAAATTTGATTTAGCTGGGACGTATAAAAATTAAAAGTTTTCTCCAATGATCTTTGTCTTATTAAGCCTTTTACATGTATCCTGAATTAACAAATTACTTAAGTTATTAAATCCAAAGCGAAATAAGACAAAGTAGTTAGAGGAACGATTTCTGGAACATCGACCCTAAACTACAAAAATATTACATTTATTTGCGATTAAAAAATGCTTTAGTTAGCAAAATCTCAGATAGCACAATTCAAAGGACAATTAAGTTAGATAACTTAATGCGAAATTTTTTGGGTTAAGTTAAACTTCTTATGAAATCTTAAATTTTTGAACAATGAACTTATAATTATTTGGTAGCTGACCAAAGTCATTTTGTTAATTGCATGTGTCCCATTACTGTTGTTTACTCCGACATCCGATGATTTTTCTATCCTTTTTCGATTGTAATACTTGGGTCATAAAAGGTTTGATCTTTTAAGGTTACTTCGTCATCAGTAAATATTATTTCCAATAATGTTTGCTTAAAACTTACACCATCTATCCTTCCATATCGCATTTCTAAATGATAAATAAAGGCTATTTAATTACTGTCAACGTAACTGGCCGCTAATGTCCATTCTAAGGGATATTCTTTAAGAACGGAAGCATTGAAATCTTGAAATAACTATCCTCTGCAACCGTTTTTTCTCAATATATTTTATCACATTTGATGATTTTCAACATTCCGGTTCTCATATCGACTTCAAAGTACTTTTAACAGTTCCTTCAACAAAACGTGGTCCTTACGCATTTGTAATTTGTCAATTGTAAATATGTAACAAAGAAGTGAACATTTTAGTCCCCTTACCTGTTCTTTTCATTTCTCTCTCTCATATAACACATTTGATGAGTTCACGCTAATTGTATCTGATGCTGTTTTATTACGGAATGAGATGCTTTTAAACTTCCCTCGAATATTATTGTTATGAACTTTAAGTACAGTATCGATGAGCCTAACTGATAGAAAATAAATGAAAAAGGAAGTAAAACTGTATTGTTTAACTACAGCAATGACTTATATTCTGAAATTTGATCAATAAATTAAACAACTTTACCTATTCAAAAATTTAGAATTCCTCTTTCACTCCACCTCGCTCCCAATAATTGCAACCATTATTTCACTATTCTAGTAATAATTCAAAAGATATTTCTGATCAATTTACGAGTTACGAATTGAACAATAACAAATTATATTATATGAATAAGTAGCGGTATGATTTTAATAAGAATATGCATGCGCAGAAGATATTAAAATGAATTAACAAAGTGTAGAAGCGAATAAAAAAGGAAGTTGAGATCATCAAAATTTGGAATCACACGAATAAGTTGAAAGCCTCAAATCAAAATACCTAACTGTTCGAAAGAGTAATGTAATATATTTCTAAGTAATGAAATCACAGTTTATTCGAATTATAATTCGAGATCATCAGTAAAGGCCGAGTGTGCATGTGATTTGTTCAAAAATATTAATCAATGATAAATGAAACATCGAAAATATCTTGATAAAGACTTTGTGAAATTCGAAAAAATTGAGACAATCCGGTTTCTTGAATAGCTCTGAAAAGGTTGCGGTATTTGAATAGAACAATAAAATTTGCTAACTTGAGCAAAAGTAATGTAGCATTTACCGTCTTGGTTTAGAAAATGAAAAGTTGGTACCTGAATACTAGGAATTATGCAGGTGGAAATTTAATGTAGGGAAAGAAGAGAAAGGATGACTGATGGGAGACAGAAAAGACAGTAGATATTATTGCAGTGAAATTATCAATATTCGAGATGAATAAGAGATTGCGAAGTAACTAACAAACAATTTCAGAAGTATTCATAAAGAAACTCTATGAAATATCCATTTACAAACAAGAACTGAACATTAAAAGGAAAATATTGCAATACAATCAATGGAAGCATTTTTTTACATATCTATACCTGATCCAGTGGGAAAAGATTGATACAGAGTTTTAGTAATGTCAATTACTTTAAATAAATCTATTAGTAATATTAATGAATTGCTAGTAAGGAGAAGATGAAGACGATGCAAATAAATGTCTTATTCCCTTGCTTGATCGTTTTGATACTGAGAAGACAAGTTTTTACTACCTTAAGCGGCTTAGCATAATTACTGTATTGATCAGCATAAGTGGATGATGAAAAAAAAATTGGACAGTGATAGTATAATCAGCTAAATCTCTAAATGGAACAGATATCAATCAATGTGTGCTATAAATTGTGTCTTTTCGTCACGACTCGCCTCCTTTTGTACTATTCATAATCATTTCTTATACTATCAATTTCAGATTGACATCAATCTAACTTTGTCAGTCTTCATTGGTATGATATATGCCATTCAAATGTGTTATGTGACATTCATTATTCAGTACGAAAAAAATGCATTAGTAAATGAAATATTTGCATTCTTCGAAAGTGACCTACGATAGTGGAAAAACAGTACGGAAAAACTACAAATCTTCATCGTCAGCTTCCTTCCGAGTGCAATAACATGCCAAGCCAACCAATATTGCAAAGAAAAAGAGGGCGCAAAATAGAAGCATCCAAGTTGCTAACTGAAAATTCCAATCAAAATGAAAAACTAGATTCGAAAATGTTGATTTATTCCGAATTCCAAAAACGAAAATTCTTGTGTCATTCCGTTCTCCTTGGCCATCACTATACTCCTTGCTTTGCACAGATTTACTGACCTACCTCATATAATTTCATTCTTTTCGCGGATAGTTTTTTTTACCTAATTGATGCTTCTCATTACGGATATCAAGAATGTCATAGCATTAAAATTAAGCTTAATACATCAACCTATGATAAATACTCGCTCATTGACCAAATTAGATGCATAAGAATGATGTCGAAACGAACTTGATAATCGCCAAGCTGTTTGTCCAGTTGAGCGATACGATGTAAATTTCCAACATCGACAGCGTCTAAATGACGAGCATACCAGTTCCAAAAAACATGACCTTGCCATCGGAAGCCAACACTCATTTCGGGACTGTCCGTTATCGATAGATAATTTAATTTGTCCACTTTCATTGCAGTCCAATTAAAAGAGAATCCGGAAGATTCTGGTGTGGGAATTCTGTATTATATGTGCAATATCATTACTCTTATATAGGAATGGGCAGTAAGTTTCTGAGAATTGCTTGAAGTGACACTTTGTTTCCTACTTTCTTTTGATCTTTGGTGTAAAACAATTCTTTTATAAATGTATAAGAGCCTTTGCAAAACTATAAGTTTTGGCCTTCTCTTCAATAAAATATGATAGTTGAATTTTCGAAAGTATCGTAATTTATAGAGTTGTTTTATAAAAGGGAAACATCTCTCTATACTTTCCTCCATTTCTTTTTGCATAAGAAAAAGGAAATTTGAAATAAATAACATTCACTAAAGAAGATCAATAAAGTGACTGAAGCGAAAGAAATCAATGATTTATTCCCCAAACGATCTAAAAACTGCTGATTGTTGGTTGTAATTTGTTGAAGTACTATCGATCTTTTGGAAGGTGATAAATACAGTTATTATTTTGATATAGAACTTATATAAACAACGGATGGAGCTTTTCACTACATCTGATAAAGGAACATAATTACGACTTCTAAGAATTAAAAAGTTGTTTAGGATCTTACCCGGTCCTAGCGAAATTGATGATAAGTTCGGCAAAAATTTCTGTTAGCCTCCGATCCAACTGCCAATTTCGATCGCGTCTTTTGACAAGAAATCTCGGTTCAACATCAAACAGGAATATTTCGTCACAGCCATGAAATGCTCCTACACGAAAAAAATAATCCAAAATATCACTATTTGTTGTTAGCCTTCCACACTTCAGAAAATCATGTCAAATTTTGCGTGAAATGGAATGACAAATGTCTTTTAGAAGGCCAAGGCATCTAACAACTGAAGGTGCCAAATGTCCTGGCTTTGCCTGTAATTAGGACCATTAATCTTTCAATCTGCATATAATGGAGCAATATTAAACGTAATTCGTGCGATGTTTAAACAATTGCATAACAAACAACAATTGAAGCGTTTTCTGAAGAAATATTTTTATGAAAAACAACGTTTGATTAAGGTGGGAAGAGGTAGGAATGAAACGTACTGTCGTAATCAAAAATTTCACTGATATGATCGAAAGAATACAAATAAACGGGTGCACCGCCTTTTGCATAATGTGTAGCAAGTCGAGACGCTGGCGCATCATACCAAAAATGCGAGTACATCTACAAAATTTCAGGTATTTAATTCTTGACCCTAAAAATTGGAAAACTGAACAGTTAACGACTATCATCCAATAATATCTGACCCATGAGGCACAACTATTTCAATAGGAGCTTTATGGTCACTAGAAGTGTAATTTGTTATCCAAGATTCAAATATGTAAATTTAAATAAGGTGGTAAAACAACTGAAATACATCATACATGGAAATTGGTTTCCTAGAAGTGGTTAGTGATGCAAAAGTTGTTAGACCGCTGTGACTTTGACCATTTGGTTTTCGGTCAGGAAATCTGTCATTCTCTAATACCCCTATATTGTCATCCTATACTGTTCCACTTTTATCTTCTAATGCTATCTGAGGATGGATTTTATAGAAAGGTTAGAATTGATGAATTTGGCAAACATTCAGCACAGCATCGTTCAATACTGATGGATCCATAGCTGGATTGATTTTCGACCAAATGTATTCGTACTTACAACCTTCCATAATCAAACGATGATTTACAAAACCGGAATATGCAAGCGTTAAATTTTCAACCATTTCTTCTGCTGCAGTTCGTGTTAGTGCACTCATATTTACATTTTTTTCATTCAAAATCACTGAAACAACAAGCATTTTTTATCAAAAATTTTATTTACCAAAGTGAAACAATGCAACAGCAGTGCAAGATGGATTTTAATTTGTGAATTTAGAAGAACAGAAGGGATATTGAAACGGTGGAATTAATTAGTGGTGTGGAGTAGTCGAAAGTTTGTAAAAAAATGAATTACAATAACTAGTAGTTGCAAAAAACGAACAGATTTTTAATGAACTTTCATCTCTAGTAGTACCAATCATCATCGGCATTTTTCGCCTATAGGTTGCAAGCATTTCCGGTGATTCCGGAAGCACACCACCGATACCATCCACTATTGGCACAAATTCCTCGTAATCATCATATTGCATCCTCTGCAATGATCAGCACCTATACTGGAAAAATGAAAATCAATAAAATTTCGTGATAAATAATATAAAGAAGAAAACTAGCAACCTAAAATCAAATCTATTAATGGCAAACATGTCTAAGCACTTGCAGAGATATCGAGTATTTCATCCTTAAGTTGTTTCTTGAAACACTCCAATAGTTCACTGGAATTGAAGGAACGACAGTGCAATTTACGATCCAGGATCCATGTAGCATTGATGGCAGTGTCACGCACAACACCTGGTGATAAGGCTGTTCCACTTAACAGGGCAATTTTTTGAAACAAACCTAAATAACATTTGTTTTCTATTTTTGACAAAAAAAATATTACATGTACTGTAATATTTAACTTTCGGTTAGAAAACGTCAACCTATTCATCAGAATCGAAATTCGAGAGATGAAACTTGGGAAATTTTAAAACCGCAAATAGTAATCTTTATCTTTTTCTAGTCAGAATATTGTTAATTTTTGAATTTAAAATTTACCTTCCGCACGGGGTGATAGCGCGAGAAGGGAAGCACTAGCAGCACCGCTACCATGTCCCATCAACAATACATTCTCAGGATCACCACCAAACGCTCGTGCATTCAACTGAAACATTCAGACTTCAAAGTCTCCCTTTCTTAATAAATTATTCGAGTATTTCAATAATTCAAGAAGTCTTAATATTTCTCATTGCTCTTTTCTTTTCACAGGCACTTAATTACGGGAAGTATAACAGTCGGAGGCGGCATCTGAAAAATAGACCTTTATTTACTTTTCTTACTTTCGTAACAACAGAGATGCCACCTAACAGTTTATAGAACAAAATATAACGGAAAAATTTATGCTAAATCAGAAACCCAACCTTGACCCATTTAAGAGCCAAAATTTGGTCCCAAAGGCCATTGTTTCCTGGTATCACTCCATCGCCCGTCGATATAAACCCTATGAAAACATTTCATATGAAGCACAATCTAACGATAATAAAACAATGGATAAAATGAAATAAAGTAATTTAGTTGAAGCACCTTTTGCTTCATTTAATTCAAAACATCTGGATCTATCAAGCCAGAAGAGCTAAAACATTTAGACGTGTATGGTATAACAGTAAAACATTAAATTAAAATGAACTGCTCCTCATTCTCTTACTTTGAGCATGGAGCATAAACGGTGTGCAAATAGTAAAAGTGATAAAAGCACTGATACAATTTTTCGTCTCCTAAGGATATTGGTAAACAAATAGTTGAGGTCAAGTGATTAAAAGGATCCAATAAAAAAAAGCAAAAATACATGAAGGACTCACCGAGTGGGCCAAGTCGATAATTTATCGATATAAAAATAATTTTACGTGAAACAAAATTATTGAGAATAGCCTCTTGCGAGAAATCGGAACTGGAACCTGACTGAAATTCTCCGCCATGTATGTAGACGATCACAGGATATGTGTCATTGGTGAACTGAAAGCATATTATTTTTTCAAAATACTTAAATTCCGCAAAGTCTTTTTAAATAGAAAAAGCGGGAAAAACAGTTTTGTAAACCTTTAAAAATGATCGTCCAAGCTTATACAATATTTTAATTTGAGGGGAAAATGAGACGAATTCATAAATTTTGTTTAGAATGGCGGCCGAATTAAGCCAATCAAACTTTGTTTTTCCACCAAAGCTTTCTACTTTCTCCTCTAAGTTCGTTCAGTGTTCTTCGTGATAACCTCCTCAAAAGCATTTCAAAATCCCACGCTTCTTTCCGTCTTTTTTTTCTATGAATATATCATAATCGATTATTGGTCTTTACCATCTCCTCATCCTTTCTACTTCCAATCACACCACATTTCAAACCTTATCTACTTCTTTCCTAAATCCGGATATCGAGTTTTTCCTAAACGCGGACATCGAGTTCCAACTCAAAAACATCACCATGCTTCATTACATCAACAATTTGACTACAACTCTTCAGTGTTGACAACTTTCGCCTTTTCGTGAGGTATCTCATTTATATGCTCCAATTTTTTGAAATACGAAAATCGTAAAATTTGTTGACTTCCAGTAATAATCTTTTTACAGAAATTTGTAGGCAATAAGTTTTGTCTAAATCAGATGCATTCTGGTTAACCTAATCAGATAACCTTGTATGTTGATATCGGCTAGTCGAATTTTAGCAAATATATTGGACGTGAAACACATTGAATATAAATTTTAAAAACATGAAGTGGACAACGAATACATCTTAAATAAGAATGATTCAGACGCACGTTCACGTGATAACAACAAACATTAATTGCAACTATCACTAGATGGTAGTTATTTCTCCAGACAGGAAACGATACCTGAGGAGGAGCAAAAACATTGAGGTAAAGACAGTCTTCGGAGATGTGAATTCGATAAATATTGACAGGATCGGTCTGACGAGTTCGAGGTTTCTGGGCGCACATAGCCGAATATTGAGTTGCATTCATTACACCCCTCCATTTTGCTGGTGGCTCTGGCATCTGGAAACAAAAAAGAGTTGAATAATTGTTTTCACGCATGAATAACATGATATGATATTCTATTGGTAATCAGATTATACACTAATTCTAGACATTTTGAAGAACTTGAAAGTTGCAAGCATTTTGCCGTAGAATGCAAATAATCTTAGGGAAAAATCAATAAAATGAAGTTTAATAAACGGCTCTACAAAGATCAATACATCCCTCGTTAAATAATGCTTTTAAGAGACAAGAATAGCAAATATAGAGAAATGGGCAGATATTGTTCATATTAAACCTCAAACAGTTCCTGCACATCATTTTCTTCAAAATTTAATTTATTTGCAGAGCCAATCGAACAACACACAGCTAATTCACGAATGACAAATTTTCATTGGATCCTTTTTCTTACCAATTCATTAGTAAACAAATGATTGATATTAAAGATTATTTCAAGATAAGTAACTTTGTAGTGGATAAAACTTTGATACATTTATCGTTCTACTGATAATATATCTTAATATTACACTTGTCATGTAATGTTGCAGAATTACCTGGAAACGAAGTGAACCAACAGGTGGTGCAGCGTAAGGAATCCCTTTAAAAACTGCAAAATCGTTTGCACCAATTGTCTATAAAAGCATAACATTTTCATCTTTAGATGATAAAATATTTCATCTATTATTAATTAATCAGCTAGAAACAGCATTGATACTATGTGTAGTTATCAGTTATCGTAACTTTAAACTTACTCAAACATTTAATGATGCAATTTTCATATTATAGCGGAATTGGAATTGAAGTTTTAACTTGAAAGAAAAGATTTTACTTCTTAATAACTTAAGGAAAGACTTGTACAGACTCTTAAGAAGAACTCAAATATGATCACTGATTAAAGTGTAGTCTCTTGAAAAGTGAGTGGTAGCAGTGATTCATAAATTTATAAAGTCCGTTTTGCTCACCAGATATTCTCCTCTTATAGAACCGGAATCGATAGTAAGCTCAATTGGATGAGTTTTTCGGATAGCACCATTGCAAACGTTTAGTAAATATTGAATGACACCGAACAACCATATTGTATAGCATCCTATCCCAATATGCATAGCGCATTCAACAACCGTTCGTCATGCTTTCACCAAACTTTTTTCTATTTTTTCCTCTTTTGAACTTTCCAATTTTCTTCTCAAAAAACCACTTCTAGTCTTCTGCTAGTTTCAAATAAAATGGTTATTACTTCAAATAAATTAGCTTAATTACAAATTCTTAATCAATCAAGACCTTATTTTGACCAGTCAATCATTCAGCCAATAATTATGATTATGATCAAATCGCTGACCATTGAAGAAGAAAGAAAAGACAACAAACATTAAGGACCATAGGAAACTTGAAAGGGGCAGTGTATTGTTTAATGGCAGTGATAGAAACAACAGCAATGGAGAATTTGTCGCAGTGGCAGTAGCAGTAATATGATAGTAGCAATAATGACAGGAATGCTAAATATGAAATGGAAAAAGTTCAATGACACGTGCTAAATTTGTCGCATATCCCAGTTGAATAGTGCGATTAAAGATCCACACTCGACGGTATTATTAACATTATAAGAAAAGGAAAGATTCAGTTGAATTGAATCGACTTAAGGGAAGCATAGGACAGTGGGCACTTATTCTGATGGGCAGATTTAATGCAATAAGGACACTTGTCGATTTGCCTGAAAGGAATTTTTGAGGTTTTAGATTTACTATGTAAATTACAAAGCACTACCAAGATATGATAAGATAAAGATATGATAAGACAATGAGTCCAATAATACTTTAATACATTTCTTTCCATTATTGATAATACTGACTATTTTTGCAAATTTCCTAGATTATTATAAAGAAAACAACCAAAAAATATGTGAATTTTGTGATTACAAAATTATTGACCGATTACTGGAATCAAAAGAGATAAGACACTAATTAATATTTATGGTATTTGTTAGAAATGAATTTGGACTTGAACTAACTTTTTAGAATATTCAGTTCAAATTGAAACACGATTTGAACTAAAGGACTACGAATTACTCCCATTTTCTCCACCAACTTCTCATATTCTCTTCGGGAGTCGGAGAAACATGCATGAAAAAAGACTTCGAGAGTAAAACCATTAATTCTCTTCCAACTATGTACAAATAAAAGCCAGCTAATTTGAATGCGAGTATTTCCTTTGAAAATCTTTTGCAGACCCCAAAGACCAAAATAGCGTCTCTTGTCATCTTCCCTTCTTCCAATTTATCAAATCCATTGAAAATAACATCTTTCAAAACAATTTTGAAGTCGTAAAAGTGAGTGAGATCTGTGTAAATTTTGTTAAATTCGTATAACTTCATTAGTTTAAGATTGAAAAAATAATTCATACTATAAAATGTATGATGTGTACGAAATTATATGCTGTTAAATTAATTACTGATAAAGAGAAAAGTGTAATGAGAAATGAATTTTGATAATGGCATAAAACGTACGTGGAATATTGTTAAAATGAAAAGAAAATGGAATGCTTACTGGAGAAAACTAACTGTTAGTTGATGGAAAGCATGAATTGATGTACTTTTATTCATTGTTTTTCAAAAATTTTGTCCCCTAGTGGCTTAAAAAGATGGGAATATTCATTCAAACTTGGTACCGTAGTACCACTCATACATCTTTTTTTCCAAAATTGAGTGAATAATATGAATTTTAGAAGAACTAATTCAAAAGGTACAATTATTTTTAAGAAGAATTTTAAAGATTTTCCAAGTGATTAGAAATCTAAAACTGGAATAAAAAAAAAAAACTAGATGTTGAACGAGAAAGGACAAAATCAAATAGAAGATAAATATAGCTAGGAGCCTGAAACTAGTCGCTTCATTGATTGTATGGTAGACTTCTTCTGCCTTGAGTGACATCATACCAATATTGCGGTAATATGTTTAGATATTAATGGAAAAAGGAAACATTGGTGAAAAGTATATGCAGAACCCAACTGCGACATCAAAGAAGGAGGGACAAAAATGGGTCCATTTATTAGGAAAACCTAGATGATTCCAAGCAAGCTGATTCCAAATGTAAAGTTACAAAAATCATTTGTAGATTATAATGCTCCAAGAATGGAAATGATTGGCACAATAAGCGAACGGTTGAATTTTCGTTCGTTTTATTTATTTATTTTCAACACTCCTTTCATGTGATATTCCCGGGAATTCTCAAACAAATACTTTAATAGTAAAGCGAAGTATTTGGAGCGACATGACTAATTCATCTCGTAATGCTTCCCGGTCGATGTTATGTTATATTATGTATGCATGGCAAGTAGCTATTCTGTTGAAAGTGAAAAGACGATAAGGAAGTTGAAAATGTCAGTGTGCTGCTCATTGATTCCGGTAGGAAGAATCAATGGTTTGACATGGTTGCATGGATGTTTTTGCATTGAAAATGTCCCATTGCCGCAGCGCTTTACGCTTGAAAAAAAGAACTGTTGAAATTCCAGAAACTATGAAATGAACGGAAGAAGCATAACCTTTCGGGGAATCTCTTATAAGAATTGAACCAATTAGCAAAACTATAATTAGGACCCAAATAATAGCTAACACAGAAGTAGTAAATGCGGATCTCTAAATCAATTTTTGCTTCTAATATCTCAGAAGATTTTCGTTTACGGAATAATGAGAACACTTATCTTGTGTTTGTAAGATCTCTAGCTTAAATGCAATACTTCCAAATAAATTTTATTTCTGCAAAAAGCGGAAATGTCTATCCAATCACAGAAAAAAAATGACGACAGGAAATTTTGATGGACATGAATTCAGTAAACGATAGAATGGAAAATTGACAAGGAAACTTCGTAAACATGAATTTTTTGGTCTCATTGGTAAGAGCAATAACTGAATATTTCACACATAGCGCCAGAATGATTTTCATCATTTAAGCCTTTCCAGAATGAGGAAAAGTCAGATTACTAACGGTACCAAAAATCTGAAATTGAAACAGAGTACAGATAATCACCATAAATATCTCTGAACCTCGGACATAAACTGACTCCCACAATTGATTGTCTGTTCGAGTAGTTATGGACGAATTGCGCTCATGTGTGTGCGCATTTGTGTATGTATGGGTATTTATATGTGTGTATGTGTGTATGTGTATATGTGTGTGTCTACGTAGTATTATTAAGCAATTTGGTTACATTCTTTTAGCATTCATTGCTCAATAAGGGACTTCAGCAAAATGTCCAAATAGTGGAGGCTGATGCGCCATCTGATTTCACTCCACTCTGTCCAAAATGCCGTTGCCAAAATTGACTAATGTGTGATATAGTCAGAGTGTCCTCCCGTTCTTGTCGCCATCTCATCAGCACCACAAGTAAATCAATTTACTGATAAATCGCTCCAAAGCATAAAATCTCGTAATATATGCTTGGAGTACATTTGATAAATTAAATATGACCAAACCTGATGTTTGCTTATTTTTTACGGGGAACGGTAAGACTCAGAATTCCTAGAATTATTTTAAACTGTTTGGAATTCTTATGGAAATCAGATAGTGATATCATTTAGTGATTTCAGGGATGAGATAATTCATGATAATATCGATGACATGAGTATAATGATGAAGTTCAAATTCTTTCTGGCTATTGCACCATAAGAATACTGTAGGTGAATGGAGCAACTTCTTCAAAATCAGATACTAATACGGGTACCACTACAATAGTGCCAGAAATCTTTACAAGCTAATTAGGAATAAAATGAACGGAAATGATCCATTGAATTATACAATTCAATGAGTACTAAAAATACATAGAAATAAATCAATAAATTTACACTTTAACAAAATATTAATTGATTTGGAACTTGATCAGTTACATGTTTTACAACTTTCGAGTATAATTAACTCTTCATCATAGATAACAGATGCATATTGTAATAAATTACTATGATCGTGTTTTATTCATTTATGCAAAATACATGTGGAATGATATCGCTAAGTTGAATGATCACAGTGATAGCAGCTGATAACGCTTAACATTGATTTTCACCAATAAATAATGCTGATGCTGGTACACCTGTGTACAACATCACCTGTATAATGTGTACACACAAACATACACAGACACAGACCGACACTCAAGCAAGCAAGTGTACACGGCGGGAATGAAACAGACATACGTTGGTATCGAAATTATTAGTTATAGACAGAAAGTTTGAAAAATGGAAGAAAAGAGAGGAATGGTTGTCAGGAAGTTTGTTTGGTTTGTTTGCACATTTTTACAAGTCTTTCTTTCCCATTTCCGTTTCATGGAATTCATTTCAGAGAATTTCTTTAAAAAATGTATAAAATGGAGTGAAATGGAATATGCAATAGGGAAGGTTTGCATATATATATATATATATATATATACATGTGTATATGTATGTGTGTGTGTCTGTGTGTGTGTGTGTGTGTGTGTGTGTGTGTGAGTGTGTGTGTGGATGTCTTCAGTCCGTTGACTTATTTTTCTGTTTATCAATTACTTTGAGGAAAACAGCTTTCCAGTTTCTTGAATTTAACTGATTTTAAATCTTAGAATTCTCCTTCTTTGACTTCACATTAAAATTTTTTAAAATGACGTCAGCAAATGACGTCAGTCAACTCACCTAGTGCTTTTTCAACTTCTATGCACACTTCTGCATAACAATATATTGTTTTCAACTTCTATTAATTTCACTTTTTAATGGTGCGATTGTATTCCATTCCTTTGGCACAGTGAATACAAAAGCGAAATTTTTTAATCTTTGAATTATGGCTGCAAGTAGATTGCAAAATCGCACTTTTTTTGTATTTCAAATCTCATATTTCATTAAAAAACGATTGCTATTACTGTTAGAGGCATTTTGTTCGGTCCTTCTTGAACTTCAACCTTTCCTCTCGGCACTTTTTTTTTTCAGATTTCTTTAAAAAGCTATCAAAATTGAAAAAGAAAAAATTACCAAATGATGTAATATCCCTAGTGCAATTTATGTTGTTAAACAATTACACTAATCAGATTAGATCCCTTGTGTCGTCAACTATTGTTAGTTTTATGGAGTTGTAGGGATTAATTGTATCAAGTGTTTCCATTTGTGGCATCATGTACTATCTGTAGTAGCCCAAGTCCAGTAAAGCATTGATTAAATGGGATATATTCATCTACTGCTATTATCATTAGTATTAATTAGTGAAGGAGAAACGCACAATCGACTCCACGACGGATGCAGTTCACATTGCACGAGTAAATTCGATGAGGTTTCAGTTTTATCATATTGTTATTTACAAATCATAGTTCATTTACAATTCATTACAACCTTTATTCTCATTTCTTATAGACCAATTAGATCAATTAAAGATGTCGTAAATACGAGAAAATGAGAAATGTACTCTCAAGTTTAGAATTTGGGTTGTCCGTAAGATAATAAAATATGATAATATGAAGTAACACTGAGTAATTCAACGATTTTTTATAGAATCTGTCATGTTGGAATAGAACTGCTGATTTTTTTGGTAAAACACTTATGGGTGTATTTTTGCAATATGTTACCACACAGGTTCATTTGCTATTTGAATTGATGAACGAAGTAAATTAAATAAATATTTAAACTAATGAACGAAATAATTTAAATGATTAAATGAGAAATAGCCTGCCTGCGGAAGAATAATGATAACGTAGTCAGTGATGCATGGAGATTCAATTTTTTAATGAAATTTGAGTCAATACATTGGATTCGGCTGATGAAACATACGTTGACCCATCTTCTTGAAATCCTTTTTATTTTAAAAGTTTGAAATTGAAGAACAACGCTATTTATAAAAGATCTCCAAAAATATGAAATATTGAATTAATAAAATGCAATGCAAAAGGGATGTAACTCAAATTCATGCATTCATTTTTTATTTGATTTCCAAGCTTTGATGGTTTAAATTTCCGGTAAATATTATAATAGCGACAAAAAAGCATTATGGGAAACTGCCAAATTCTGACGAAATAGCAAAAGTAAGCTTAAAAATTCAGCTCTTATTATAAAAACCATTGCAATTTCAAATTAAATGACCTCGTTTATTAATTAAGCATGATGGTGTTATTCCATTCAACTTTCCTTTACCGTCTGATCCATTCTATTATCTTTTGCTCCTTTTTCTCCTAAAATTACTCACTGATATTCATTCATTTCATCATTTCTTTTAATTTTTAGAAAAGCATTGACAGAATGGTGAAATATGTGCAATGTTATCATTCTGACAATAACACTGACATTCTGACAACAGCAATTATCAATAAAACTATAATGACTTTTATTTCAGTCTCTTTTGTAAGTTAAACTTGTGACAATGTCAACGCTATTATTACAATTAAAATTTTTAGACATAAAGCTAAAATTTGATATTAACTCGACTGGGTAATAAGTGAATGCGATAAATTAACAAATCAATCAATCTGTAAAATGCTAATACTATTTCTCATCTCGGGATACACGTTTTAGAAATTATAAAAATGAAGAAAAACGAGCTATTTCTCGTAATCCACTTAATCTAATTTCAATTGGTCCAATTTTTATTTTAATCTAATTTTTTAATTATTTTTCCAATTAATTTAATTTTAATTAATTTTAATCCAATTTTTAATTAATTTTTTTTTAAAATAGTTGACGAATGGGAATGACAAAATGGAGATGGGGAGGGAGTCTCATCCTGGCTTAGATTCAGAAAAGGGAATAATGAATTATTTAGTGGTGATATGATAACAATGCAAATGATGATACGATTGCACAAAACTATTTAACGTACTATCGCATTTACATTGAGTTTAGTTTTGAACTAAATTTTGTCGAATCTCACAACTTACAAAAGCGCCATACTATAATAAATTGTTCTCTCATGAATAGCTTTCTCGATTCTTTTTCTTTTTTACTGAAACAGATTACTTTTCCAGAAACTGATCAAAACTTCAAAGCAGCCGACTTTGCTACCATGTCCGCAAGGCTGTGAAAAGTCATCAGAATTTTGGTTTTCATGGATTTCCATATCACTGTTGCTTTCCGGCATTCTGATCGCCATCATAACAATTAAAACGCTTGAAGAGGATCACATAGATCAAAAACACGCCTTAGTTGAAGAAATAGTAAGAACTGATAAACGCAGAATAAACTGAATTTGAACTGGATTTCGCTTGCTTTAAATCATTCTCTCTACTTTCACCTTTGAACAGAAAGAAATACAAAGCATCACATTTTATCGAAAGCATTACGGGAGTATTTTGCAACTTCTTGAAATTTTAATCTTTGACCTATGGAATGATTTTTGAGAAATCTTTAAATATTTTTGGAGGTGTTAAAAGTCAGATCGATACGTTAAAAAAAAAGGAAATCAGATGAACTCAGTGACTTTACTTCAACGCATAAAAGGAGTCTCAACATTAGCAAAACTTTAACAAAGAGGGAAGATTTCAAGACAGTCATATAAGTTCAATCATAACACATTCCTGTAACAATAAATGCCTTTCATTAATTAATTTTGTAAATTTCCTCTATTTTTTTTCACTTCACACTTAATTCTTCGTCGTAATTAATTCAACTTTAATCAATCTCAGTTTAATTTTCTCAACTATTTTTTTCTATCAATTTTACTCCTTTTTCCTACTTTCTCTTTTGTTTGTCATCGTCATTTGTTCTCCTCAATTAATTCATATCTTCCTTCTAATATTTAAATTAGGTATGTTTAGTTAACAGTTATTTATTTCGATTAATGTCCTGACATAGCACAGGACAACATTTTTAACTTCTTCTGACTTCTAATAAATTATTTGAAAGAAAGAGCAAGTAAAACACTAACATTTTGATGTTCTCTCCTGAGAATAATGGAATCAACACAGACTTCCCGCGATTGAGGAAATTCAGCACCGTTAGGTCACTTTACATACATTAAGAAGTCTATCGTCCGTCCTGTTTGGAGATTTCATCAAGATGAACTTTTCACGATAATTATAGAATACAAAAGCCATAAAGCACTGATATTAACAAATATTTTTCCAAGATATCCTGTTATTGCAAAAGATCAACAAAGGATGGCGTTTCCATTCAGGATAAATGTTTCATACGACAAAGATGGGGAGAAAACGACAGAAGAGCAATTTGTCTCCTTATTTGAAACTCTTGTTTATCACGAAATTGCATATAATTTGGCAAACATCAATATTTTACGGTAGTAGACAGCCTTCCAAATTTATTCCAATTTATTTCTGATAAGAAATTGTTTCAACATTTAAATGGACTGATAAAGTAGTTGTTATCAAACAGACGGGTATAGAATATATTTAGAAAGAGATTGTTTTTCACAAACTTTTGTCAGCTGCAAGCATGGCATGTTACATCTGGCAAACAATATTTGCAGGTAATATAAATTTAGATTTCTTCAATAGGAATTATTTTTAATTTCAAAATAAATGCATAGGATAGATTATAGTTATCAAGTAAAGACAAAATCATTGTCAACAAGGTTATCACTCTAATGTTAAAGATGAAATCATTGTCAACAAGGTTATCACTCTAATGTCTCGATTGAAATACTTTGAATAAGTGCAAAATAAGAAATAGTTAAAGCCAAAGTCACTGGTCTAATAGTATTATTTTCAGAGAATTACAAAGAAGATAATCCATTTTATAGAAATAAGGGATGAAGTTACCAGTAATCAGTCAAATTTGATTCTCCAGGAATTAATGATAGAATTACTGAAATTTAACACCCAACTTGAAACAGAGAGTTTTGTCTTTGCGCATAATAGAAACGTTGAACTGTCTCATAATTTTGTCAGATTATAAAAATATTGATTTTTAGAAGCAGATCAAGCTCTCAAGTTCTTTAAAATTCCTTCCATGTTTCAATTTCAAATCTAACTCTGGGATTGTGTTGCAGCTTCATGCCTTGTGAGGGTTGGCGTCAGTGGCATGGACACGTATGGACGCGAATTTATTTTTGTATACCCACCGAATAACAGTGGATCTAGCAGAATGAACGCTACATTGAATATTATCAATCCGGACACAAAGCAGAGTGCTACAGTCACCGTTGAATATCCTGAATTTGGTACTATTGGTGAAAAAATCACGGCAAGACGATGTACTGCAACTTTGGTTGTCAAAGTACTGAGCAGCGCTATGGTATCGTCTTTTTATATTCGTTATTGCGACAGTTTACGTTATTCAAATGGGCAATTGAGCGTTTGGTATGTGTAGGCCTTTCCAAAGTTATATTGATGTACAGTATATAGCCTCCATAATTTATTTTGACAGTCTATCCCTTATAAGCTGATTAAAAGCGGTGTATTTTCAAATTTCCAAAAGATTCTGGACTCAGCTTTTCTTACTCTCCCCGCTTTTCTCCGCCGCCATGTTCAGTTGACTAGCGTGAATAGCGTTTGAGATGTAAGGAAGGATTTTCTGATGAATTAGTTCCAGTTGAAATATTTCAAATTTATTAATTCGAGAATAAGGTGTTTAATGGATAATATCCGAAATGGAACCGTACTAGTCAAAGTGATATTTGGATATGCGAAAATATCAAAATAGATTTGCGAAAATATCAAAATAGATGCTGTCCCACGTGTTTTTCAGAACATTCTTCAATTCGAACTCAGGTTTTCAGTTTAAATTTAATAATTCTGTGATTCTGGATAATATCAACGATGGTTTGCACTTATACGAAGATGCTCGAATTGTTGTCCACTCCACCACTCCAATTACTCTCATAGCACATAACGTAGATGTCAGCGGAGCTCGCGATAGCTTCCTTGGTTTTTTTTTCATTATTTCTTGAACTGAATTCTTTAGAAATGTTCGAGATTTTTGCCATTTAGATGAATTTTGTACTGAAATACACTGTTAACTTTTTTGTTCAGCATATTGTCGAGGATTCCGCAACAATTGCAGTGCTACCAATATCGATGGCCGGAAATCACTATGCGTTTGCGCTTCCGTCA